TTCTAAACCTTAATTTAAAATTTTTATTATTTAAACAAAGAGTAAGTGAGAAATATTTTTTTAATTATGATTATGACAAAAATAAGCCTTGATGATGGAACGTAACAAGTTCCAAAACGTCGTGGATAAATAAAACAAATTTTTGAAAATTCTGGGTTCAGAAAATATATAAAAAACTACTGTTTTTTGCTTTTTCTAAGATTTAAACTTCTCTCTAAATATTATATTTTACACCTATTAAAAGATTCTCTACGTTTTGCCTATTGGCAAGTTGCTGTAAATCTGAGTAAATATTTTGAAACTGATCTTAAATAAAATAAATGAAGTAGATCATTTGAATCAAAAATCGTTTAGTGTTTAAATAAAAAATATGAATTTTGAATGCAAGATAAAAATAAAAATAAGAATATAAAACAAAATAACAATACTATGGTGTCATTAAAAAGAATTATACAATTTATATGGAAAAATCAATAAAGTTTATCAAATGTGTAGTGTTTTTTGTACATTTAGACCATGTTTGATTTCACGCAAAAATCTTTTATATTTCCAGGGCCGAATTTTTTTAATAAGTTAAATTGTATTATAAATTATTTGTATAATAAAGTATAATAATAATTCAAACCGGTGCACAAATTTTGCAGGACGTTCCTTGTAAAAATAAATAAATGAATTTAAATTTTTTACGTTATCTTTACGATTATATTATATCACTTTTGACAAAAAAAAGTTTTATAATTAGTATACCATAGTCATACAAAAATGAACTATTGCAACAAATACGATATATTTTTTTTAAATATACAAACTATCTGTAACTATGGTCACGTTTTTTTTTTTATCAAATCATGGACAAGAACATATTTTTTTAAATATTTTTGAGACGTTTGATTTTATAATTTTTACACTAACAAGTTGTGGTTGATTAAATGAATTTAGAACATATTTAAAAAATATTACTAATTCGTCAAATTCGACTCTGTAAAATATGTTTATATCAAGAAGAAAAAAACTGGAATTCGTTAAATATGGAAAGCTTTAGTTCATTTGGAAAAAATCAGTTTGAAAATTCAATATTGTGAAAAATCGACGCAGAATTATAATTTGTTTAAATGTAAGTTATTTTAAAATTTGAAACTATTGCGATTTTTTTTCTATTAATCATTAAATTCAAATTCCAATTTAATACTAAATTTAATTGAAACAATTGAAATTGAAATTAACACAATTAATGTAAATTGAAATATATTTATAAACTTTGCTTAATTTTTTTTATGTCTTTAGCATTTTCTTATAAGTAATTTTTGTAAGGAACAATGTAAACAAGTGGATAAAAATTTGCACGATATTTTATTTTTATAAGTAATATTTTTTTAATATTTATCAGGTCAATAAAACTACTTTTTATTCTAATGGCGACTCTGTCATTTGTTAAGGTAAGAAATTTTTTAATAATTCTGAAAATAGTAATAATAAATAATAAAATAATTAACACGTTAATTACCATTTCAGTCATATGTGTCTGATACTTAAAAATTTTACTCAGACCATGTCGACATATATGTCTGACAAACCCGACAAATATATCTAAAACAAACAATTTAATATAGAAGATTTTTTTGTTGTTTTTTGTTATGATTTAATATAGAGACATGACAATTATATACGTCTGACATAAATAATAAATGGTGTTTTTAGAGGAATTTTAGCAAAAGAAATTATTTGGTGGAATAAACTTCTTTGTTGCATTTTAACTAAATTATATAATAATTTAACCAATTCCTGTTTTTTTCTTACTATGGCCCATGTGAAATTTTTCCTATATTATTGTGGCGTTATTTGTTAAAATGTTTTTTTAAATATTAATATATATTATGGTGATTCTACTTTTAAGCAATAGATTTTTATTAAATTTGTCTCTTAAATTTAGAATTATTGCACTCTAATTCTTTATAATATTAATAATGTAAATATATTAGATTATCGAATGAAACTTTAAATAAATATCTTTAAATAATTATTAAATCAAAATTTAGTCAATATTAATTATTAATGTTTATAGTCAACTTGAATTAAATAACAAAAAAAATGCTTCATTAAAAACAATAATTCATATTTTTCCAATCGTATATTGTATTTGGCAAATTCTTGATTCCACAAGTGTTTATAATATTGCATTTTAATTTTAAAAACAAATTATCATTTGTTTTAATATGTGTAATAGTAAATTATTAATAAATAAAAAAAATTACATTTTTTTAAATAATTTAGGCTCTAAGTCCTCAAGAGCAGCAAAAACAAGCAAAAGAAATCATGAATTTTATTCATAAAACAGCAGCTGTACAGGTAAATAAATAAATATATATAGATATATATATATATATATATATATATGTATATATATAGATATATATATATTTATTTATTTATTTTATCCATTTTTTGCAGAGAAACATACCTTAAACCAACAAAAATACATGACGAGACCAAATTCATCAAATCGTTGAATCCTAAAGACGAAATGTTGAAACTCCTACAGGTAATAATTAGAAATATTTTTCATAAATATTAAACAAATACTTTGAATATTAATTTTTAAATATTTGGGTATAAAATATAATTAATATTTTATCGTTTTTTTAAGGATCCACACCAGGAATTGGATTATGGAAGTGCTAGTGCCAGTGAAGAAAATGACGAGTATACCTTATGTTGATTAAAATATGGAAACAATTATAAATATATTGCATTGTATTGAATGAATATATCCAGTTGTATTGGTATTGCAAAAATAAATTCTTTGGAACAAGAATATATTTTTATCATAAAAATGTACTAAGATGGAATAAATTGATATTTAGGCTTACATATGAGAACATACAAATACTTTCGGTGCTAAAATGACTTCAGACGTCAAGAAAATCATCTGACCCGAAATATAAACTTATTTGGGAAGCTAAAATTTGTTTCTGATTATATATCGTCAAAATTATATATGGCAAGAGCGTTTATTTTACATAGTTTTTAACATCACTACTAATAATGGCGGGACATTTGAATTACATTTTAACATCATAACATGTCATTACATAAAAAATGTGACAAAAAATTTTTTCCAATATATTTTCATACAAGTTTAGCAAAATTTTAATTTTGTATCATCAAATATTTCAATCAGGCCCTTAATTCGATTACTATGATAGATAGTAACCTTATATTCTAAAAATAGTCACAGATTTATTTAGGAGTTGTCCATCAAACTTCATAAATCTGTGTCAGAGATCAATAAACTGAAATGTGTTTTGATGTTTTGTAAATTATGGAAATTTTTACGGCATCGGTCATTCATTCACTTATATTATGCAGTTGAATGCATTTATAATTGTATTGATGGCGGGAATTTGCTTTGGAAAAAATTAGATGGTAAAGATTGATACTGGATAGATAGTAAATGATTAAACTTGGTATAGTAACTTTTAAACAATTTGCAATTTGTATTTATTTACTAAAAAAGTATTTTCTTAAGAAGAATAATTAAGAAACTTTGGTTGGAATGAGGAATATCTAAAAGTTAATATAAGACTTAAAATTTTCAGAGATTCAGCAAGGAAATTCGAAAAATCCATATTAAGGACCAACCTAATATCAAAAAAAAGAGCTCTCGATAAAATGATCCGCTAAAACTCGAAAACGGCTAAACCGATTTGGCCAGTCTTAGACTTGAAAAATTTATGCTAATCAGTAAGTTGTCGGTAAGGTGAGCTATTATTTCAAAATCGCGTTGAAACTTTAAATTTTTAATTTTTAAATTTTTGTAGAGGCGCAATTTGAATAAAACAATGGACGGTGGCTAATACGTCAAATGTCAAACTTTTTGACAGATGATGTTCAATTACGTTAAATAGGACGTTTTACGTGAATATTATTTGATTATGGTTAAATTGTAGTTT